AGAGAGAGAGACAGAGACAGAGACAGAGACTGACTGACTATATAAGCACACGTGTAGAGGTCAGAGGACAACTTGTAGGAAACCGTTTTCTTCTCCCACATCCGGGTTTCAGGGATCAAACTCACGTTGTCAGGTCTTCTAAAGCATCCTTACTCACTGTCATAACTAACAGTCCTAAAGTTAATCTTGATGCTTCTCTTAATTCTTCCAACCTAAACGCCCAGGAAAACTATTTCCCAAATACTTTTTCCATCTCTTTACAATGCTTCCCAGTGAGCAATGCTCTAGCATCACCTGCTCTCTGCTGCACAAATGGAGACCCTTCTCCTGGATTCTATGCATCCAGCCCTGTCACCTCTAGTCTGTCCTTTGACATCACTGAGTTAGGAAAACAAGTTTCTAATCACTCCACTGCCCTGCTCCAAACTTCCCTATGTATCCAGTCCAGTGTTCCGAACGGGCACACATGTCCTCCACAACCTCAGCTCTGCTGCCTACTGCAGCCTCATCCACCACTCTTCTTGCTCTGTGCTTCCGCCACAGCGACACTTGGTTGTGACCCCTGTCCTCATGCACCTCCTCAATCTGCAGGGGAACTCCTAAACAGGCTTTAGGATTCAGCTCCGGCTCCGTGCCCTAGAAAGTTCACTTCCTTTCCTCTTACTTCTGGGACTTTAGCACTTTCAATAATTCAGTCAACAACATCAACTTCTTACTGTCTGCTGGGCCTTGTCATAAACAGGCACTTAAGCAGCTGTTAATTGAATGTAGATCCAGCAGTGGGTTACAAAGAAGGCAAGATCCCTCCAACCTCAAAAGTAGAAATTCTCACAGCACTATAAGTAGCATGAATTGATAAAATATATCAACTTTAAAGGGTTGATTTTAAACAGATATCTGTCTTCACAAAATATGTATTTTCTCAAATGCAGAAACTGTATTTCACACACACACACACACACACACACACACACACACACACACACACACACGGCACAAGCATGTCATGAAAGCAGAGGAGGGGCTATTTGATGTGAAGAAACCAAGAAGCAAGCAGAAGAGAAAAGATGGGGGTCCCAGGGAGAGAAGAAAATGAGCAAAGTACAGTGAGAGGTATGTAAGAAAATGTCATAATCAAATCCAGGATTTGTTTGATGACTAAACATTTATAAAAACAGAAAACCCTGAAGGAGAAAACTAATAAATGGAAACAGGAAACTAGAACCTATATGGCCGCCTCACTCAGTATGACTTCCTTAAGAAGAGGCCTTTTCTTTCTCATTTACACATCCTCAGACCTACCAGAGTATAATTTCCATAAAGGAAATATTCAATAAAACACCTGTTGTAAGGGTGAAGGAGGTGTGTCACATTTTGGGGCAGAGGGTCCAGGATACTTAAGTAAATGCTTTTCTATAAATAAATTAAAGTTTACTTTAAATTTCAGATCTTTTTAAAAAGAAAATACTGAACAGCTCTGTGGTGAATAAGAAATGACTAACATTAAGCCAACATAGTTTAGTAAGACAGAAAAAAGATCAAATCACTATTTTTAATTGGCATTTTTAGAAAGAAATCAAATATAATTGCAAAGTCAAATATCAGCCTAGTATTCTTTAATTTCAAAAGAAATTCTAATGGCACAGCAAATAGGAGATTATGAATGCAAGATCTTAAAGATACCAAAATGTCAAGCTGCATTAACCTTGTGTGTGGTTTGGTTCTACCCTTCCACTAATCTCCCTTCATCACAGGGCCCTTAACTGCTCCTAAGGAGGATACACAATCAGTGTGATCTCACTGTCATTTCAAGTCACAGTCACCAATGAGTGGCCTCTCCCAACCGTCTGGATAAAATCTGATTAAAATTCTGGTACCAGTCACACAGGATAGAGAGGGGATGATAGATTCTTTCTAGACTAGGCTTCAGAGTTTCGAAGCCCAGTCAAAACAAGGCTTCCAAAGGGGAAACTCCTGATTGGAACCTATTTTAAAGATTTCAGCAACCAGACCATAATGACTCTGCTCTCAAAGAACTTCAACAAAATCAGCTGCTAGAGGAAGCCTAGCACTTACAACTAAAAAGACAGAGTCAGCATACGCACACGCACGCACGCACGCACGCACGCACGCACGCACGCACCCAGACATAAAAAATTCTACCTCTGACTTATGTGACAGATAGCAGTCAAAACAGATCCACTAAAAGCATTGGAAAATTAACACTAGTTCACATGTATACAGTATATCTGAAACATGAATGTCACGTTTAGCCTAGGGTCTTCTCATCAGAAAGACAGAAGACAGATAGATAGAGATAGATAGATCCTTGAGGCTTCATTGGAGAGTTCCAGGCCAGAGAGAGACCCTGTTTCCAAAAAAGAAAAGTAGACAACACCTGAGGAACAAAACTGAAGGTTGATCTCTAGTTTCGCATATAACCTCGCCCCCAAAACACACATACACAGACACAGATATTCACATAATCATACACATACATACATAAACCCACACAAGTACATAAACATACATATATACAGACATACATATACAAGTAATATTAAGTTATCTATGGATAGTGAAGTCTGATGTCAATTTTTAATGTATTTCTGGATTGATTTTCTGATCGTTACACAGTGAAAATGTATGTCTTCTACTGTAACACCAATAATGGAGAAGTGCAGCAGACACATCAGGAATTACCCAGCAGCAGTTAATGTTAAAGCCACAACACCACTCCAACGTCTGTGAACATTTGAGACAGGGAAAGACCCTCTGAGCGAGCATCACCCACTGTATCAATCCTATTTATTCCCTAAGTGCTCTGAAAACTCTATTTGGCCAACACTGTGATGAATGGTGAGATGCAGCAGTTGTGAGTACTATTATTGGCCATCTATACCACACAACCCCACAATCAGTAAGAAAGCGCTACAAACAGAACATATATTTCACTATCTACACACCAGTAGTTAAATAAGTGAAAATAGGCAATAGGCAAGGTTATTAAGACAAACAGAAAAGGATGAACATACTGTTCTATCCGAACCATGGCACACAACATGAGCTGCCTCCAGGTTCTACAAGATCCTTTCATGCTTTCACGGTTCTTGTGAAATCGTTCTTATACTGCCTTGTCATTTGTATGTAATGAGTCTTTTGAATCGTTAAATCTTACACTAGTGAACAAGATGGTATGTCCAAATTCAGGTAAAGAGCCATTGAGAGAGAGTGTTCTGGGGATAAGGTGCAAAGGAGCAAAAAGGGGGACAAAAAAATGCCCACCAGAAATACCTCAGGTACCTTCCTAAAATAAGAGCAAAATTAACCCTGTTCCTTCCTCTATCCTTAGTCTCCAGACTGTGAGAAGGCACTGTGAATGAAAATGACCCCTCAACCAACTGGCCTGCCATTTTTTCCCACTTCCTCAAAACACACTTCTGCTTAGGCAGGCAGCAGATGGAATCAGAAACGAGCTGCTCGGGACTCTGTTTCTAATCCTAAAGCAACTATCCTTTAGGTTTACTGGTTTCCCTTCTGGTCCTCACATTGCCCGAGTGCCACTCAATGAGTGTGCACCATGTGCTGACAGTCAGCCCAGTGGCATTTCCCTCCTGGGCTACCACCTCCCTCCCCATGCAGCCTGGACCTCAGAGTGGTCACAAAGAAATGGGTTTATAATCTGACTTCATTTTCAAATTCCTCTATTTGTACCTGGTCAGGGGTTCACTTATCAAAGAAAGGGCTAAAAGGTAAAAAAGAAAAGATTTAGCAATTATTAGCAATTTGCTTATTTCACACAGAACTAGAAGAGAATTCTAAAGCTTCATGGACACGAAGAAATCTAAAATGACTCAGAGAGGAAATGCTACTCTGTTAATTTGATCAGACACACTGTATACATGGACTAACTTACCACACTGTACCCCTCCCTGTGGATAAGTATTAACATCAATCATTTAAAAAGAAAAATCAAAGAACAAGATGTCAACTGTCCTAATATTAACAATTGTGTGGGGCAACTGCAAAGCAGACAGACAGACAATAGAGGAGAGGGCCTTTTCCTCATCAAAACCCTCCATGTAAGGCCTTGTGTTCAGCCTCACTGGTTCCCCTACATGTTCCAGCGAGGACCAAAGGCCTTGAGCAGTTTCATCTGCATTTCCGGGAAGAAATAGAGACTGAGAAGTCCAAGCTAGAGGTTCAAACCAGAAGAGGCCCAGTTTTATCTGACAGTGGAAACTACGTTTAATAAGTGGTAGGGATACAGAAGATACTATTCATCATGAGAAACTGTATTTCAGAAAAAAATGTTCTGTGATCTACAAATATATTTGCATACATAAAACACTTATGAAAATTTTAAATTATATATAAGAGACCTTGAGAAAAACACTACAGAGGGCAATACACCCCTGTGTAAACCATGGTCATGTCAGAGAAAGATGTACAGTGACTTTCAAATTTTCTGTTAATGGTCTTTTATTTTAAAGTATTTATACTGTCTTTAAATTAAAAATATTTTACTAAAGAAATTTCTGGTTCTCTTTTAATAGACTGTTCTCCAAGGCCTTGCTGACTTTCCCCCTTTCTAAGTTGACCCAGACAGTGACTAATAAAAGCTCAACTCACCTTCCTGGAGATTGCCCAGGTAGGCAATCTGGAAACTGCCCAGGAAGAGAAAGCGGCCAGGCTACTGGCTCCAATGTTTCCCAGAGAAAAAAAGTCAAGGGAGGAAAACAAACAAGCAACATTTTTCCAGGTGCAACCTGTGCATTGGGTATTGGTCCTGACTTCAACACTTCTACAGTTACTTCCCTTAATGTCCGGGATGGCCAACCGTACATCAGTTACTTGCAATATATGAAACTCAACAAAGTTCTGGCCAGGGGAAATTACTGTTATCAACACTAAATGCTGGCACCAAGTGCTTAGCTTTGCCCAACCTCAGGGCTGTCCTAGAGGGCAAGGCATCTCTAGTTAACCTGGAAGAGACTCACCAGATGCTTTGCCTTCGAGCGTTCCTCCTCACTGGATATCCTTTCCCGAAGGATAGCTCTGGTGAGCTGTTCATTGGCTGCGGCCCTCTCTCGTTCTAGGTCCCTGGCTTGCTTAAGGCTGAAAAGACAAGTAAAGATAATAGTATTTTGATTTAAATTATTTTAATTACTGTAATTATTTTAGATTATTTCATAACCGAGTTAGGAAAAATACTTTGATGAATGACATTACGTTAAATGAAATAACTGAATATAAAGGAACATTACAGTTATAATTTTAAAAGCTGAAATCTTCTTGGTCCATAATCTATCAAAACTATATACATCCTCAGCCCATATATTTAAAACAACAGAATTCCAAGACAAGAAGTTACTGATTCAGCTGACAAAGTATCCAAGTTTAACAAAGTTCTCAGGTATAACTGAAAACTTCTCACCTAAAAGTCCCATTACCTGGTCCTCCATTTGATCTCAGGAAATAGAGTTCGGCATGAAGATCTGAGCACCCTCTCTAGCACCCACACAAAAAGCCAGAGTGGTAATTCATGCTTGGAATTCAGTACTTGGGAAGCAGTGACAGGGAGGTCCCTGAGTGTGCTGGTGGGCTAGCCTAGGCCACCACTAAGTCCTAGGTCCCAGGGAGAGGCGCACTCTCAGAAACCAAGGTAGACAGCGCTCCTGAGAAACCACAGCTGTTGTTGGTTGTTTTTACTCTTTTGGGGAACTCAGCACCCAGCTCCCAAATAAATCACACAAAGAGGCTACTTATTAATTATGAATGACCAGCCTTAGCTTGGCTTGTTTCTTGCCAGCATTTCTTAACTTTAAATTATCCGGTCTGTCTTTGCTTCTGGGCTTTTCCTGTTCTCTCTTTTTGTAGACCTTTGTATACCATTGTTGCTGGTCGTGTAGCTGGGTGGCTGGTCCATGATGTTCTCCTCCTTCTCTCACTCCTAGATCTCTCTTCCCAGATCCCTCCTTCTATATATTCTCTCTGCCTGCCAGCCCTGCCTATCCTTTCTCTTGCCTCACTATTGGCCGTTCAGCTCTTCATTAGACCATCAGGTGTTTTAGACAAGCAAAGTATCATAACTTCACAGAGTTAAGCAAATGCAACACAAACAAAAGTAACACACGTTAAATTAATATTCCCCAATATTACCCCTTTTTCTATACAAAAATGAACAGTTTTAAATTTAACACAGTAAGACTGTATACAATAAGAACAATTATCAAGTAAAGATTACATTCACAATGTACTGAATTCCAACTCTTTTGTGTCTGCTCCATTTAAAGAAAATACTCCATAATCTATCCTATCTTAGTAAATATAAAATTTTATGCCTAATTTACTTAAAACTGCAATTAGAACTATCTAGTTCTTCAACTCCCAATTATTTAAGTAAACAAAAAGTATACTGCAAACAACTTCCAAAAACTCTAAAAATGACAGAGACATCTGACTGCCTGGACAGTCACCCAAAGATCCTCTGCAACGTTGGGGGATCCATCTTCAGCTTACAGGCCCATAGTATCTGGCAGACTTTTCAATGAAGCAGGAAATTTGAAAGACTGTCTCACATATGTTAGCAAAGTTTGTCAGTCACTTTCCTGTCGGTCCTGCATGTCCAATTTATACAACGTAGTGTCAGGCAGTCCAGGCAAGAGCAGCTTCTTATCCAAATGGCTAGCCTTGTCACATTGAAAGCAAATGCCATAAGAAGTTTCTTCAATGCCCATCATCTCTGAAGTAAACTGGTGCTGCCAGGAGCAGATGTGTGTCTCATTGTCATGAAAAGCCCTAAGTTGACAAAACCTTTTAAATGTCATATTCTGTAGGTCTTTGAAAGGTTTTAAGACCATCTATCTAAAATATATCTCTATATAATCTAGAAAGCATACCTAACATAACTACAGTTTTGACTGTTATAAATGACTAACCATTGACCTATGTTTTCTGATTATCCTATATAGTTTATAACAATAACTTTCAAAAACTAGAACTTGACCCTACATTTCCAAATGAACTGCATAGGCACAATACCTCAAACAAAAATAGAAACATACATACAATATGTTCTAACAAAAATAACCTTAAATTTTTATCAATATACAAAAATCCTTTAAACAAGAATAGAAGCATATATACAGTGTAACAAAAATAACTTTAAATTTGTATCAATATTCTATATTCCCCTAAATGATAACAAACATCCATAACCCACCAAACATCCAAATCACCCATACCCTCCAACTCTTGGGAATGTGGGCTTAGTTTTCTCTAAACTGCTTCCTGCTGGCTGTGGGTGAAGGCATCTTTAGAGGTTCCTGAGAAAATCTTGACTTAATGACCAAGTCCTGGAAAGACCAGTTATAATCTTTGTTGATAGATATCATCTGTCAAGATTTAAGAGGTCTCCCCTGATCAAACCTGATACATATTATTCCTGAAGGAATCTACAACCTCTCATCTCCTGCGGGAACAAAACTCCAAAGCATTTTTGATTTCCATTTTACAAATATCGTTTGACTTCTTTTTAAAGTTAAGATAGCCCTAAAGTATCTAGGTTGGATCAATTTTGCAGTCCTGTTCACAATCCCACATCTCTTAGCAGTTGGCATATCAACAATCAAAAAATTCAAAATAAACAATACTGTATTGGACCCAGACTCCCTGTGTATTTCCTATCTTTACGTGGCTTTTTTCTTTTACATTACTTTTACTGTCTCTTTGGACTTTATTTTTAAACTATTTCTTTCTGTGACTGTCTAAACCTATTTTCTTTTTTCTTTTCTTAAGCCTACACACATTGTAAAACACAGTGGAACCTGTTTAGAGGGGTTTTTCTGTCTGGATCTCTTTTACTGTGCATCTCTAGTCTTTTTTGACCACAAAAACTAGCAAACTTTAAACTGCTAAGCTACACCTGAATCCTCCTTGACTGGCTCCACCCACTTCTCAGGTTGTGAAAGTGAAGCCTAAAGCTCAGAGCCTGGTCAGAGGTTCATGACCAAGAACTGCATTCAACCTTCCTAGAGTTCTAGAATGCTGAAGCTTGCACTGTGGCAGGCGTTTTTAATTAGTTTTTTGTTCCTACTTACCTGTACTAGCTGCTCAAGGGCTCACTGTCTGGCAGAAACTCTTAAAGGAGTCATTTTTTTTTTAAGCTTTCTCGGGTATTATGGAAATTCGAGCACCATGTTGGTACACCAAAATGTTGTTGTTTGTTTTTGCTCTTATGCAGAGCCTGCAATCAACTCCAAATAAATCACACATGGAGGCCTATACTTAATTATAAATGCCCGGCCTTAGCTTAGCTTGTTTCTTGCCAGGTTTTCTTAACCTACATTATCCCCATCTACCTTTTGCCTCTGTGCTTTTTCCTTTTCTTACTTCTATATATCTTATTTTCACTCTTACTCTGTGTGTGGCTGTGTAGCTGGCACTTAGCGTCCTCTTCCTTCCTCTCTTGTTCCTTCTCCCTTTCCTCCCAGATTTCTTCTATATATTCTCTCTGCCTGCCAGCCCTGCCCATCCTTTCTCCTGCTTTCCCACTGGCCATTCAGCTCTTTATTAGACTGTCAAGTATTTTAGACAGGCACAGTAACACAGATTCAGAGTTAAACAAATACAGCACACCTTAAAATAATATTCCCCAATACACAGCTGAGCTAGAATTCTGTTCTCCATGCACAAAATGATCAAGCCATGTTTGTGACAAATATATGAAGGTTTATTATCATCTTCCTCTTAAAACTGACCTACTTTTTCACTGAACATGAGTGAGTTAGGCACCATGTTAAACATAGAAGACACTGTAATGGACAAAGTGTAGAGATTCCCTGGTTTCTTAATCATACTTCAAAACAGGAGTTAACTAGCAACACATAGAAGTCTCTCCACCCAGTGTATCACTCTATCTTCCAACAATCTCCATATGTAAATATGGCAAAACCTTTAATACCAGGATCCTGGCTGATGGAATGACTGCAACCACCTCCCTTAACTCCAATTAACACCTTACATTCCAGATATGGTCTAGTGAAACAAGAAGACAGCCACAGCAGTGCCCAGATCTGAATACTACTAATTCTATTAATAAAGCCTACAATTGCATTAAGGTGATCCATAGCCTCGTTACACAATTAGATCCATATTAAGTTACAATCTACTAAAATCCCCTCGTATGTGATAAATGACTTTGGCACTGGTTTTTGCCATTATGCCTTGCACAGACAGGCACTCAGAAGCACTGAATGACAGAACATTTCAGTGTAATCTCATGGACAAAGATTTTCTGATTGCCTTTTCTCTCTTCAAAGAATAACCCTTCTATACCATTATATCCCCAAAGATGCAAGCTATGCTTTAAAAGAAGGTGAAATTGTTATGTTGGTGTCGTTCTGAGTGAAATTTTCTAAGTGTGCATGATGAGTGCTAAACTTTACTTGGTGTTAGCCTATGAAAAGGACCCTTGAAAAGAAGTAGAGAAGATAAAATTTTTGTTACTGTTTTAAAGCCTCACACCACCCTGATACCCTGACGTTCTTAGAAGCAAATTATAACAGAGAAAATTATCTTGTAAAATACATCCCAAACTTACGTCTTTCTCCTAGAGGGTAAACATGTATAGTTGTTTCTTAAAGAAGAAACAACAAGAACAACAGAAATAAATATAAACTTACTCCACTAATAAACCTATGAGACTTTCTAAGCCATAAGTACAATGAGAGTAGGCAAAAAAGGGTCTCTAAAATATTTTATAAAAACCATACAGCATGGCATCAGCCACTAAGTCTATGGGACATAGAAGGATAATGATTTCAGATCACACTGCCTCCCAGCCCAGGAGCTCAGAGTGAGGTCCACACAGCAGCAGAGCCATCTAGAGAGTTGCTGGATGCAAATTCCCAGCAGCACCTCACATCTAAGAATGAGAAACCCAGAGGAGAGTATACAGCAAAATGTCTTTTAATGTGCCACCCCCAGGTGATTCTGATGCGTGCTGGAGTTGCAAAGCCACAGCTCGATACACAAATACATCCTGGAGATATATCAAAGAGAAATAACATCAAAATGGAGTGGTCCACATGAGGACACTGATAACAGCTAAAATT